GGGGTGGGGGTTGTTTTTTTTATATTTGAAAAAAAAGGGGGCGTATTTTTTTAATTCTATCTATTTAGCTTTTTTTAAGAATAGAAACAACTTTTCTGTGGAAAATCAAGGCAGACACATGAACCTACAAAGAGATAACTGAAAGAAAAAACAACTGAAAAGCATTTCATATCATTATAAATCCATTGTAAAAAAAAATACATGTATTTTACAGATAACTGTTGCAAGATATGGAGTCCCAAATATACGTGTACATAATGTATAACTGTATGATTAAAAAATAATAATAATATAAAATAATGTTCCAATGTGTTTCCTGACTGTGCATTCACCAACTTTCTAGACTGTTACTGTTAGAAAATGCCAAATGCGCACCACTTGAGACCCAACGGGTTTGTTGTCAACTTCCATCAAGAGTGACCCGTGGCGTCTACTGTGTTCAAAACGGTAGACCTACTAGAAACACATCCACGTTTCTATAAACGAACGTACATCTATTTTCTTCTGCTACTGACAGTTCCACTTCAATAACGGCAGAGCTATTTGTGGTCGGCATTTCAGAGGGGAAAATATTAATATGTGTATTATGGAGGCATACGGTTACTGTACACATTAATTAATTATTGACACACCGATTTATTTCAGTCTTGTACAAAATGCAAAAAAAAAAATGATGTTCGGAATTAAAAGAAATGTTTTTTAAATAACTCTATTGTCATGTTTTCTGTTGTGGTGGAACAGCCCAGAACAATGTTTGTCTTTATTTATAATAATTTTTTTCAAACATCTGTTATTCATCATAATCGTGAAAAAATATCTGCATCTGACTGAGAGAGAGGGAGAGAGAGGGAGGGAGAGAGAGAGGGGGGAGAGGGGGAGGGAAAGGGAGAGAGAGAGCATCACAGCCCAGTCTGATACCAACCACTGATCTATTTATTGAGTGCCGAGATGCCAGCGTACTCCAGTACAGTGCAGTAAGTCTGTAGTACAGGAAAGTAAAACACATTGTTTTTACTGTGTACACTATAACACGTTATCTGGCACGATCAGCAAGCCTTTCATGAATCCTTGAGAGGAGTTAAGAGCAGCTTTGGCATTGTATCGCCTGCAGTGATGCCTGTTCTTCAACCAAAAAAGTAAGTTAGTAAACACTATAGTATAGTATTACAGGATCATGCAGTGCAGTGAAGAATAGTGCCACATATTGTTCACATCTCCAAATTCTAGCCAGACATCAAACGTTATCCCTGAAGCAACATAATTATGTTTGACAGTTTGTTTGTGTTGTGTTGTTTTAGTTTTCCGAAACTGAAGATGTCCAAAGATGAGCTGTCGTCAAGGTTTTGAACTTTGGAACCGATTGTTCCAGTTGTAGACATTCGAAACATAGCAGAGAAAAACAAGAACAAGAAAAACAACAACGTGTTTGCTGTTCCCAGCAGAAATGGTGCCACGCCCACCAGCGACCCCGCCCACTAGCAGTCGTGGACCAGGGGAAATCACTCTAATTCAGCTCAGGCGCTTGCATAGTACGGGATAGACATTATTATTCTCATCAAAATGATAGGATACAAAATCATCATGTAATCTATTCAACAAGCACATTTTTGGTGATCAATTGTTCAAAAAGATGTAGATCTAGATCAAACTCTTGTCTTTCCTTGCATGTGTGCAAAGAATCACTTTCACCAAAGGCCAACACAAGCCGAACTTGCCTCATGCTTTTGTTTATAACAAAATGAAAAAGAGTGACCCCCCTTATGTAAACAGTTTCCATTGTTCCAATCAAATTGCCACAGATGGGCTTGCACTAGGAGCTCTGCAACGTAGAATATCAGTCAAGAATCATCTAAAAGTGCCTACTGAGGCATAAATTTCTGTCTTCTTACTGGAATCTGTCTGGGCTTCATTCTCATACGTGGCCGTTTTCGTTGGACGACAGAGGGGCAGCATCTGGAAAGTGTAGATACGATTCCACCTACGTATGATGATGATGATGATGCTACACAATCTCAATACTGCTTCAACAAGTTCAAGACTCAGGTCTGTCTCGTAACTGTTGCCATTAAATTACACTCTTTGAATTCATCAACGGCATTATTCAGATTGTGATAACCTAATAGTGATGATAATACGAATAGATCTAGATTCTAGATCTAGGCTATACGTCATGTCTCATCACACTCTTCTTATATTTTATCTCAGTCTCAGCGAGCCTCGGTCTGTAGTAGACTGCTGCTAGTGCTAGATCTAGCCTACCTAAACAGTACTGGACTCTGGAACAGGTTTTAGATCTAGTCTAGATCTAGAGATAATATTATTATACTTAAACTTATATCTAAGAAAACTAGATATATAGGACTTCCGTAACGAGCGACCACTATATGAGATAGAGTCGAATATAGTAGGCCTATAATAGTGGTAGGGTTTGAGTTAGCATTTTAAAGGTCTCTTCTTTAATGTTTGTTGGGGTGGTCAGTCGTTACAGAAGTCCTTCCACTAGATCAGATAGAATCTGTCTCTCAAGAGATCTTCCAAATTCCAATCCAGATGGTTGGTAAAAATTTCAAACGTCATGAAATTTATTATAATTTACTTTCACCTAACTGAATTGTTAGGCCTCTAATATATTTTATATTCATTCAGATAGTAGTATGATAGTTCAGTGTGAAGTAAATAACTGTATTAATTTTACGCATTAAATTTTTTTTTCGTACAAACTACAAACTTACATACATAGGTTGAAATGGTAGGCCTGGGGCTATCATCATATGCACGTAACAGCCGTTAATACACTGTTGGGTTGTTCATTGTGATATAGATCTAGATCTAGTTTTAGACTAGTCATGTGAATGCTAACAACTTTCACCAGACACAGCAAATTAAATTTCTAACGGTAAATATAATAATAATAATAATAATAATAAATAGCATTTATACTGCGCTTTTCCATTTTCTAAAAGATGCTCAATGCGCTTTACAACGAAAAAAACATCACATCTTAAAAATCAATCGACATGCGTGTACGTAAAACAAAGTATTATACATATATTATAATATAAATGCATATGTGTAAACATTTATATGAGAAAAACAGTCTCGCAGAGAGGTTGGAAATGTGTTCACTAAAAATATACAATGCAATAAAAATTTACGAACGGTCACAATAAAGTTAAAACGTGAGTAACGAGAAACATTCATTAAAACATTAATTCCCTACAGATAGAAAACATTTCCGTTCTCTCTCTCTCTCTCTTTCTCTCTCTCTCTCTCTCTCTCTTTCTCTCTCCCACTCTCTCTATCTCTCTCTCTTTTCTCTCTCTATCTCTCTCTCTTTTCTCTCTCTATCTCTCTCTCTCTCATTCTCACACGCTATTTCTTCAGTCTCACAGTCTGGCATACACATGCATATTATATATATATCACAGTACATCATTTTTGACAGGTATTCTTTTGTGAATAAAAAATGATTCAGCTGATTTTTGAACATGGAAATTGTTGGGGCAGATCTTATTTTATATGGGAGTTCGTTCCATACCTGGGGACCAAAGAACAAAAAGGAACGCTCACCGTATGTTTTGTAATTTTGTTTTGGAGTTTTAAGAAATTTATTTTTTAAAATTAAATTTACCCCAGGGCGGAAAAATGTTTTTTTTTCTTTCATTTCGTTGTTTTGACGAACGTGTGATTTCACCATGATACCTCACAAATGGTATGGGAGTCTCGGGTTTTAGTGGTGGAGGCCAAGGATTGGTCACTGGCGTCTGTGGTGTAGTGGTTAACTGAAGTGTTGCCGCTGAACACAGAGGATGTGAGTTCAGTTCCTGTGTCAGGAGTCGTAACTCATTTCATCAAGTATGGTCTAAACTGTCCAAGACATCTCGATCCATCATGGAGGAGTGAGAAAAAAGTGGTTGTCTTAGACAGGTGGATGTCTTGGACAGTACGTCCCATTGTAATGTGGAAAATAATTATACGCAAGATAGGAAGTGGTCATTTGTACAGGGGTCATTGTTCTGGACCGCTGGCCATTAGAGCAGGCTTGATGTGTATCTCCGTCTGTTTGCAGGGAAGATGTCTCCCACTCAGCCCAGGTTGGCTGTGAAGGGAAGGATGTAAGCAGGCTGCCCCAGAAATGTGTCACGACGTGGTGGAATCAGGCGCTCGTCAATTTTTGGGCATGTGGAGTTTTTTTGTATCATCTCATAACTAGTTCTATTGTCTTGCTGTCGGTGGATCAAGTGCCCATCTATCTTGAACAGAAGCTAAGGTATTTGAGATTGAAGAATATGGGGTCACTTGATTTCAAAGGTAGAATTAGCAAGAAAATGGCCCAAAGTTTGGTTATTTCCATAGCTTTGATAGTCTGTGGAAACTGAAAACTTACATTTTTGTGCTTGTAATCGTTTTTCCATTAAATGTGTTCTTAATTGGACAACAATGGTGTTAAGTCAAGAAACAAAAATTCGATAAAAATTACCAAACTGGCAGAAAAATGCCAGTTTCTTCAATTTCTTTATTTTGACGAGCGCCTGATTTCACCATGCTGCCTCTCAGGTGATCTAAAAAGTGACGATGCCGAAGTGGAAAGTTTTCAATAATTTATTTCTCTACCCCTGACAGGTGTGTCGGACTTGTGAGGCGTCCTTGATGTTGTCTTCCCTTTGGAACTGAAGATGTGTGCAGCCGAGGATTCGTCAGATATTTCTGCAGGCCTGTCACTGTTTGACCTTCCTGTCGAGAGAGGCTGACCTTGGTGTGGAGATAGATGGAGTGATCGCCGTGCTGTAGAGAAAGGACGACCACCCTGAGGAGAGTGGCTCCCCAGTATACAGTGCTGCAGAGAGAGGCTGACTACCATTCTATGCATGCTGCAGAGAGAAGCTGACTACCATTCTATGCAGTAGAGAGAGGCTGACTACCATTCTATGCTGTAGAGAGGCTGACTACCATTCTATGCTGCAGAGAGAGGCTGACTACCTTTCTATGCATGCTGTAGAGAGGCTGACTACCATTCTATGCATGCTGTAGAGAGGCTGACTACCATTCTATGCTGCAGAGAGGCTGTCTACCATTCTATGCTGCAGAGAGGCTGACTACCATTCTATGCGGTAGAGAGGCTGCCCGGTATTCTGTGCTGTAGGGAGAGAGACCTGCTTTCTAGGTTATAGAGAGAGACAAACTTTTGTGTTGGAGAGAGATACCATCTTTCTATGTCATAGAAAGGGAGACACAGACTGACAGATCAGCGCATGTGTTGAAAAAAAAAATTTTATTGGGGAGGTTTTTCTCAACACATACGTTTATTTTCTTAATTATATGACAAATTTAATGTCTCCGTGGTTCAATTTCAGTTGTTCAAAATATTTTTGAAAGTTGGTACCAAAATGATAAAGTTATTGCTCTTGACATGTATGTGTCCTTTTTTTAAGACACCAGGAATGTTGTAGAGAGAGAGAGATTGGCTGACAAGCTGAGGCAATGATATCTCAGGGTGTTCACAAGAAAAGTGCAGTGTGATTGCATCAGATCAACAGGGATCACCGAGATTGATACTTTTCCACTGTACTGCCCTAAATGACATCAGAGCTACACTTCTCCCTCCGAGACCAAACGTTGACAACACACTCTATGGAACATTACAGCAACTGCAACAAACCTGAACTTATCACTACATGGTATTGGACAGAAGGCCGAGAGCCCAGCTGTTGCTGGATCAATAACAACCACAACAACAACAAGTAATTACTTAGAAATTGTTTTTCTAAGTTACTGTTAAGTGATCACCTAGATCTAGATTATATTTGTAAGTTACTGTTAAGAAAATCATTAGATTGTTTTTAGAAGTTTTAAGTGATCATCTAGATTGTTTTTTGTCAAGCAGAGAAGTGGTTGTCTTAGATAGTTAGTTGTGAAGTATCTCTGTCTGACTGCTGGGATGTTGTATCCCTGTGAGCCTGGGTCTGTCTGCTGGTATGTTGTATCCCTCTCAGCCTGGGTCTGTCTGCTGGGATGTTGTATCCCTCTCAGCCCGAGTCTGTCTGCTGGAATGTTGTATCCCTCTCAGCCCGGGTCTGTCTGCTGGGATGTTGTATCCCTCTCAGCCCGGGGGTCTGTCTGCTGGGATGTTGTATCCCTCTCAACCCGGGTTGACCCTGACAGGTAGGGTCAGAAACGCGCCTCCTAAATTATCTACATTGTGTCGATGGGGGTGTAAAAACACCTACTTAATTTTTTTTTAATCAACTGTAACCGGCTCTTCACAAAAGTCAAATTTGGCTTGAAACTCAGTTCAAAAGTCTCGATGGTCGTTGCCATGTTGTCCGCTATGTCGTCCTTCTGCTGCTCATCGTCTCTGTGGTTCTGTTCCAACTCCAAGGTCACTGTTATATTCGTTCAACGTCTCGATGTTGTTGAAGACACTCTTTCTGGTTTTCCTCCACAGTTTCACTGAAGTTCAATCTCAATGCAAAGACTTGCCTTTTTCAACAGCGCTGGATGTCATGAAACTAACACCTGAACCTGTCAACCTTAAAGGAAAATTTGTTGTCCAATGTTGGTGCAAATTGAAATGTTCTTTTAATTCAGGCACCACAGGAAGAGCCACGTGTGCATGTAGCTCAAGATAAAAATTATCAAAGGTCATAAGGTGCCTGAATTAAAAGAAAATTTCAATTTGCACCAAAATGAGACACATTTTCCTGTTTTTGAAAACTGTTTTGCCCGTTGTTGTTGATGTAGATTTGCATCAAATAAAATGGGCAAAGCTTTTTCTAAAACAGGGGATTCTTTTTTCAGGGGGTTTGTGAAAAATTTGATAAGCCTTGTTAATCCTTTTCTCCCTGTCAGTCGTTTTGTTGTCACCGATGGCAAGGCCGCTCCGTTAGCTCAGTTGGTATCAAGCTGGACTACGGAGGGAATGGCCTTGGTTCGAATCCCAGACTGGGAGTTCAAAAACGCAGGTCGTTTTGTGGAGTTTTCAAGGCTCACCACCCATTTGCCTTGGTTGTGTCTGAGACAGACGGTAAATCTGGAGGTCCTGCCTCTTGAATAACCTAATATCCTTACATGTGCTGTTGACTGGGGCGTTATACCTTTACATTTTTACTTGTCTTTTGTTCTAGTCCATCTTCACTGTCATATATTCCTCAATGTCTTGCTTCTGCTGTTCCGACTCTCTCTTGTTCGTGGATGGTTGGCAGGTGCTCTGGTGTAGTTTGCTCCTTCTTTCCTATCAAACATCTATCGTCCTTATCTCCCCTTCTTCTTTTTCATGTTTGTTACTCTCTTGTAACACCTCTAATCTTCTGGCGCTCATATAACCTTATGCAGTTGCGAGTGCCGTAAAACCTCTACTAAAACTAACTCTCTCTTGTTCTCCACCACGGTTGTGGTATCGGCGTCTAGTGTGAAGTCATTCGGTTCTCGTCAGTGGAGTTATACAAAACATCTACATTGACAGTTACAATTGGTCTGACTCTCTGGTGTGTTCAAACTTTTCTAGAATGATCTGATTCTGTGAACGTAGTTGATTGAGACCTTCAGTCATGTTCTGCATTGTGAGGTCAATTCCTTACCGTCTAGCAACGTTCTTGTAGAATATGTGGAATCTGTTAATCGTGGGATGACAGTAATAGGAAGTAAAGTCTTCTGGCACACTTACTGATGATACGTTTGGAGCCTCCGCTGATTCTGCCCGTATTTCATCCAGACAATGTTGCCCTCACATGTATTGTACGTAACTCTGAATCACGATCCAGCCTCCTCCGTCAGTTACAGTATCTCAGACAACTTCACCAGCATCTCTGGCCTAGCGGTTAGGCTCTTTGCTGTCACACGCAGGAGACCCAAGTTCGATTTCTAGGAGTGTGGAGAATTGTTGTCAAATTACAGGTTTTCTGCTGGGATGTTGTATCCCTCTTTGCCGGGGTGGGGTTTGCTCTGACAGGCAGGGTCAAATCCGCCTCTAAAAGTGATCTAAATTGTGTCAATGGGGGTGTAAAGACGCCTACACAAAAACATAATGTAAAAAAAGCACTACTCCAACTTAATGTTGACCTGGCGTGTATATATGTAACTGTATCACGATCCACCCATCGTTATCAGTCGCGGCGTCACAGATGAACAACGTACTGTATGTGGTGTAGTGGTCAGGCACTTCGCTGTTGCACTCGGGAGACTCGAGTTCAATTTTCTGAACTGGGACAATTTTGTTTAAATGGGGTACGAGCTCGGTCTCTCTGCTGGGATGTTGTACGGTATCCCTTTCTGCCCGGGCTAGCTCTGACAGGCAGGGTCGAAGCCCGCCTCTTTTTAAAAAGTTATGTGAGTTGTGTCATCGGAGACATAAAAACACCTCCACTGAAGGGGAAACAAAGATAATGAAGGGGAGACAAAGATAATGAAGGGGAAACAAAGATAATGAAGGGGAAACAAAGATAATGAAGGGGAAACAAAGATAACGCTACTAAAGTAGTCAAGTAAGGCTCATCTCACCTGAATCACGATCCAACCGCCGTTATCAGTCTCGGTATCATAAACAACTTTCATGTCATCAGAGAATGGCCACGGGTCATTTGGCTCAAACCTTGGACATCAGCACACTATTGTGGGTAGAGACAAATCCACAGAGACAAGAGTTTGATGGGGGGGGCACACCGTTAGCCCAGTTGGTATCATGTTGGACTACGAAGCGGATGACCCTGGTTCAAGTCCCAGTTTTAGACGTTCTTGAACTCTTGTTGTTTTGTGGAGTTTTCAAGGCTCACCACCCATTTGCCTTGGTTGTGTCTGAGACGGACGGTAAATCTGGAGGTCCTGCCTCTTGAATAACCTAATATCCTTACACGTGGTGTTGACTGGGGCGTTATACCTTTACATTTTTACTTGTCTTTTGTTCTAGTCCATCCTCACTGTCATATTTCCTCCCAATGTCTTGCTTCTGCTGTTCCGACTCTCTCTTGTTCGTGGATGGTTGGCGGGTGCTCTGGTGTAGTTTGCTCCTTCTTTCCTATCAAACATCTATTGTCCTTATCTCCCCTTCTTCTTTTTCATGTTTGTTACTCTCTTGTAACACCTCTAATCTTCTGGCGCTCATATGACCTTATGCAGTTGCGAGTGCCGTAAAACCTCTACTAAAACTAACTCTCTCTTGTTCTCCACCACGGTCGTGCTATAAGCGTCTAGTGTGGAGTCATTCGGTTCTCGTCAGTGGAGTTATACAAAACATCTACATTGACAGTTACAATTGGTTTGACTCTCCGGTGTGTTCAAACTTTTCTAGAATGATCTGATTCTGTGAGCGTAGTTGATTGAAACCTTCAGTCATGTTCTGCATTGTGAGGTCAATTTCTTACCATCTGGCAACGTTCTTGTAGAATATGTGGAATCTGTTAATCGTAGGATGACAGTAATAGGAAGTAAAGTCTTCTGGCACACTTACTGATGATACGTTTGGAGCCTCCGCTGATTCTGCCCGTATTTCATCCAGACAATGTTGCCCTCACCTGTATTGTAGGTAACTCTGAATCACGATCCAGCCTCCTCCGTCAGTTACAGTATCTCAGACAACTTCACCAGCATCTCTGGCCTAGCGGTTAAGCTCTTTGCTGTCACACGCAGGAGAACCAAGTTCGATCTCTAGGAGTGTGGAGAATTGTCATCAAATGACAGGTTTTCTGCTGGGATGTTGTATCCCTCTTTGCCGGGGTGGGGTTGGCCCTGACAGGCAGGGTCAAAGCCGCCTCTAAAAGTTATCTAAATTGTGTCAATGGGGGTGTAAAGACGCGAACACAAAAACATAATGTAAAAAAAGCACTACTCCAACTTAATGTTGACCTGGCGTGTATATGTAACTGTATCACGATCCACCCATCGTTATCAGTCGCGCGTCACAGATGACCAACGTACTGTATGTGGTGTAGTGGTCAGGCACTTCGCTGTTGCACTTGGGAGACTCGAGTTCAATTTTTCTGAACTGGGACAATGTTGTTTAAATGGGGTACGAGCTCGGTCTCTCTGCTGGGATGTTGTACGGTATCCCTTTCTGCCCGGGCTAGCTCTGACAGGCAGGGTCGAAGCCCGCCTCTTTTTAAAAAGTTATGTGAGTTGTGTCGTCGGAGACATAAAAACACCTCCACTGAAGGGGGAACAAAGATAATGAAGGGGAAACAAAGATAATGAAGGGGAAACAAAGATAATGAAGGGGAAACAAAGATAACGCTACTAAAGTAGTCAAGTAAGGCTGATCTCACCTGAATCACGATCCAACCGCCGTTATCATTCTGGACTATGAAGCGGATGACCCTGGTTCAAGTCCCAGTTTTAGACGTTCTTGAACTCTTGTTGTTTTATGGAGTTTTCAAGGCTCACAACCCATTTCACTCGGTTCTGTCGGAGACAGACGTTGAAT